AAGAGCTGGTGGCTACCTTGAGCAGACCCTGAACAAACAGGCCAGTGTCGTACTTGAAGGAGTCGTTGGCCCTGCAGAGGCGAGAGCACTTCCTCTCAGCCGGAGTGAGAAAGAGGCAGAGAGTCCGCACAACCTGTAAAAGACGGTCAGATTTATCAACCCACAGTCTGACTTTCTAACTAATGAGGCCTGAAGATAACCGGGTCTGATTATTTACTGAAGAATTTATGCAACAAAAGCTTTATCTTTATTTAATTGGTGTTCAGTTTGGGCCTCGAGACAAGAAACCTACAAATTAATGCAGTGCGTGCTTTTGATATTCACTGGGAAAAACTGGAGCTGCGATATTTGTGCACCACTAATCTTTCTTTAAATCAGATACCTGGAGATTTAAAGTGGTTTTTCAAACACACTGTATGGAGAAAGTTTTCATAATTTAAGTTTTTCACACTTTGTTTCACTTTTGAATCAATTCACTTAAAAAAAAAAAAGACTCTTCTTCTTGCCAGAAGTGCTCAAGCTCACCTAGGTTGGATGATGAGTGCACAGCCATTTTCAGCACTCCCAAGAGATGCTTTTATGCTGCAGGTCAGTTTTGAAATGTAAACCTCTGCTACAGCCTGAGGGGAACTCTGGATCAGGTTTCTGTGTCTTTCCTCTATCCCAACTATTCCCGACGTCCATATTTATAGAGAAACCGTCCACACAATAAGACGCTCCTACCACATCTAACAATAATAATGCGGCGACTCTCAGCATCTGCACAGTTTAGTCTTCATTTCATTAAACTAGATGATTTTGTTTCTTATCTCAGAATCAAGTAGTAGCTGAGTGCTACCTTCATAATGGTTTTCATTGAGTAAAGCTCTCTCTTCTCAACAAAGCACAGCCAGATCTCAGTTACAGAGATCATTAGTTTCTCGGTTACCTTCTGACCAACACCCTTTGTTCTTTATAGTCGAGTTTGGCTCAGTGGCCAGATTTGAGAAGACTGTCATGGTCACAAACCTCTACCAACGAATAACAAAAGAACGATAGAAGCGAAAGCGCACTCGGTTCCTTTTAATGTTGCAGAAACAGTCTTGTACCCCCTGAAATCTCTAAGTTGATAAGATGCTTTCTCACACATCATCTTGACCTCTCTAAATAACTGTGAGCCTCCCTACTTGACTCCAATTGAGCTGTAAAAGCATCTCAAGGACGACTGATAGATTTTAGGCGTCACACCGCAATAACAGTTTTTAAAGTGTTTTGCAGAGACTGACTCATCTCATTTTCAGATGAGTATGAAACACAGCAAGATGAGGAAAACTTGAAAGAGTCTGAAAAGAGCAGACTTGAAGAAGTAACCCGACTGAAAATCAAAATACTGATGCGAAACTAAAAGAAGTGCGAGAGGGGCTCATTAACAAACAAACATAACAACAAGCTTCAAAACATTTAAAATTATGTAGATGCTGCGTCTGTGTGGAGCCACTAATCCAGCACATTTACCTTGTTTATTTTCTCCGGGTTGCTTCCAACCACGATTGAACAGCCACACGTCTGCAGATGAGAGCTGATGGCCCTGAAACACAGAGACAACATCATGCAGATTAGCACCAATTAGCTTCATTACAATTCTTCTAATTAGAAACAAAAAGTTTTTAGGAATAACAACTGAGACTAAGGAACGACATCCCTCCCCGCTAAAAATATGAGGCCTTAAACCTTTTGACTCATCGACTTCGGCTCACATTCCAGCCTTTTTGAATTGACTTGTTTGATTGCTCATAAAAAAGGATTACTTCTAAACCTGAGATTATTTCAAGTAATACACAGTGAGTGTGTTCTTTCTTAAAGCCTGAGCTATAAATATCAGATGCCAGCAAATAAGTTCCACTTTCCAGATGCTCGTGTCGTCGTCACAGGATACTGAGCTAATCCTGTTCAACTCTGAGCAATTTGGCGCTTCATTGCCAGAATGGACTTTGTAGACTCTCAACACTAAAGAGCGATTAAGCTTTTCGTCCTTTCTCAGGAGATAACTTCGGCTAAGTGAAGAGCCATTACTCATCATTTGAAGGTTGATGGGTGTTAAATGGGCATTGTTCATCATCTGTCTCCATTTGCCTGTACCGGATTGCTTACTTGTGTAGGAAATCCTCGTGGCAGCTGTCCCCGATGTCATCATCATTTAGCACCGTGTCTTTTATCTGCTCAGCAGGAGCGAAACAAATGAGTCATTTTAAAAATTGGCCTACAACAAAGACAAAAGTGCTGACGGGCATATCTGCAAGGCATTGTAATGAAAGTGGAGGGTTAAAATACAAAGACAGTGAAAGATTCTGGGGAGCTTCTTTGTACTTTTGCATTTGCATATTAAAAGGGAGCAAATGTGTTGAATCACACTGGGTGGTAATCTAGGCAGGGAGAGAACCTTGTTTAGTTAAACCTCTTGGAAAAAGAAGCCATTTGAACAAGAAAAACCACAGAAAGACAAATACTTTCCTCATGTTTTGTCAATAAATTTCACTTGTTGGGATTAAAGCTCCTTTCAGTTACTGGCAACATGATATAAGATAAAATACTACTGGCTCTGTCTTGATTTTGTTATTTAAATGTAATTTAATGATGCCAACCAGTTTTTCTAATGCAACATGAATGACATCTTTCACTGTCTCTTAGTTACTGTGCAGTTGGTATTAATAGACTGAAACTTTGTTACTTACATCTATATCTTCTTGTACACTATGTGTCTTCATAGAGGTCAGCAGCTCCATGATTGGGACAATTTCTAAGCTCAGCACTGAGATGATATTGTAACCCTAAAATTAACAGAAAAAAAAGGAGAGAAATGAACAAGAAGTATCCAACCTACATAGAAAGACACACAAGGTTAAAAATCTGACCAGATGTTGACTCCTTTTAGTACTTTATCAGTGCATTCAGTATTCCAGGAAACATCAAAGCTCTAAAAACAGCAAATGCATCAGCCAAAAGAAAGGCCCTACTAACTGAATGTTTACTCCAGTGATGCATTTTAAAGCCGTTGTTTTTCTCTCCCAGTTACTGGTGTGTTAAATCATTCTATCCAACGCTATTATTACTTGTTCACTAGCTTCCCCTGTAGGATCCCTCAGACCTAATTAGCTAAGTAACCCCTCTGTGTTCGGAGGATACAATTTTATTATTCTGGCAATGTTACTGAAATCCCAAATGGGTACAACAAATGTGACAGATAAGTTAATACTCCTTTAAATGTAATAATTAAAGCTGAAAGGCAGGTTTTATGAGTGTAAAGAATAATAATTTCCCTATTCTTCAGTGCACACTAAGGCCAAATGCCTGTAAGTCAAGGCTACCTTCTGCATCCAAATGCGTCCCTTGCGGATAACGTGCTTCAGCCTCTCCACGCAGATGGTGTGCAGGGGGAGGTAGAAGGACAGCTCTGTTTGAGGCAGAATAATGGACAAGGCACATGTGTTCTTGTCCCCCTTGAGCTCGCCATCAAAGATGAGCGACACGATGATGACGCCCTTTTCTGCCAGCACAAAGAACTTCACGTCCACGGCGCCGCACTCTGCGCTACGCAGAATCTCCCCATTGAGTGTGTGATTAGCCAAAAATGTTACTTCTCCATCGCTGAGGAACATCAACTGGTCACCCTTTGGTACCCAGATGTGCCGCACCCGTGGTCCCAGAATATTGTCCCAGTAGGCAAAGGTGGCAGCCAGGAGCGGGCATTCTCCCTCTACTGCTACTTCAGACTTTGCCACAGCAGGTGATTGAGGTGGACAGCCGGAAGACATTGGACAAGTGTTCAAGGATCACTTATAATTAACCTGAAACATAGAAACCCCTTTGTTTATGTTACAAGTACAGGACAAAAAAAGTATGAGTGGAAATGAAACTGATTTGTTTGCACTTCACAGACCAGCCCCAAAGCAACTTCTGCTTCTCTGACAAATGTCGAAAGTAAAAAAGTTTTCTACAGGCATTCATGAAAACAGTAAAAAGAAGGGGTCATTTCATATTCAGATTTAAGGCACACTAGACACACGTTACAAGCTCACTCAAAAAAAGCCTCTGAGACTTTCTGGTCTTCTGTGAAGTTCGGATTGTACAGCTTACACTTGGATTTAATTTCAGAGAAAACATTCGTTCCCATTATTTCCATCCCCCACTGATTACAGGTCAGGTGAAATATAGCCAACTTATCCCACCAAATAAAGAATTATATTGATTACAGGCACGCCGAATTTACAAGAAATGCCAGCTTATTCGAGGCTTGAGGTTATTACTTGGCCAGATAGTTGTACAATTCAACAGCAATCAAATTTACATTTAAATTAAAAGCTTTTAAAACAGAGTTTGGTGTCTAATAGTTACAGCGATTTAAAAAGAACGTAAACAACCTTATACTTCAGACGCACATATTGTAATCTCCACGTAAATTTTGACTGGAAGTTAATATGTGTAACTTTAAGAATAAGAGCGTAAGAAACGAAATGCAGGTAGTGTTTATTCGATTACAGGCTAACTAAAGCTAACCCGCTAACTAGCGTGAGCCAACGACATCAATACAACTTACTTTTTCGGTGTTTTGGATGTTCCAGCGGTTCCAGAAGATAGAGGTTCAGTGTTAATGAAAAGTCATTGCATTTTTGCCTGTTGGTGCCATAGCTTACATTAACTGCGATTAGCCAGTTGCAGCTTGGCTGCAATTTTGTTATGATCGTTAGCACACTTCCTACTACGTCAGGCTTACGTCATTGGTAGGGGCAAACGACGACCTCTAGCGACCGGTACATGGCAGTGTACAGCGAGTCAATGATGTCATTTTTATTCCAGGCTGCTACCTTCAGAAAATTAGTTATTTTAATTCATTTACATGGAGCCTGGTCATACAAATTGATGTAGCTGCGGGCCCCACACATTGCGTTTGCCTTTTAATTTCATCCTCCAAGGCTAATGCTGACTATAAATAATGGTTACTGACTCCGTCTTTTCTCCCTTTCATTATACATGTGTGAACTGCACAATATTTCTAGCTGCAGAACCCCACAAGCTGAACTGGAGATGTTACCATTACTGTATTATTTATTTTAAACATCCTCATTCTTTGTTTGCTTTCAGAGAAGGCTAAAAATCTGAGGTTCTCTTCTTCAAACAACCAGAGACGACCACGTTTTCCACTCAACCCCTCCCTATCACAGGAATCTGTTTGAATGCTGTACAACCAAGATACCTTCACACTTAATCCTTGTCTGTAAGCACACAAATTTACAATATTATTCCAAATGGTCTTTGCACGACTCTAATGGGACAACTGATGCCGGCTCCAAATGGCTCTTAGGATACTGAATTGCTCCTGAAAACAGTCAGCACTAATTACAATTCCAACTAAGGATTAAAATGCCGTGGCTGTATCACCATCTAACCACTTGCATTGCTCTATCTTACTTGGGCTAGTAATAGTTTTCATACTCTGTGTCCACCTCAGTCAGACTATTTTCAGTTGCTTGTTTTCTGTTGCAATTCAGGAGTGCAAATCTCAGAGGGTACACTAGTAATAGGCAAACTACAAATAGTAAGCAGCTGTCTTCATCCAAGCCTAATCCTATAATAAACCTCCCTTACATTATACTGTAGCGTCCCAATGCACAGTGAAAACCCGAAAGTAAACAGTCTGATAAATTTTAAGTCACAACAGATCGATAGAGGAGTGGATCTCAAGTGTTTTACCTCATAACCATTGGCTTCTCTAATTGCTCTAGTTTGTCTATCGAGCTTTTCTGCACTGGCTCGCACCTTTCAAAGTCAAGCTGTTCCCTGTCCTGAAGGGAATAGCTTGACAGGGAATAGTTAAGTCATTACAGTCCAATAATTGGGAGGTTACAGTGATAAGAAGAAGAGTCTAGGTTGTAACATCAAACATAAAAATCCTTGCTGCAGTCCAAACACCCCTCTCTAAACATCTGAACAGTGTTAAGCTCAATTTACACTGTTCGTTTTCTAAACGTCTTAGAAGTCAGTGGAACTACACAGATCAATTGTCTTCAAGCTGCCATTTTCCTTGTTCTTTCTGAATAAAACGAATATCTTGTGGTCACAAAACAAGGCTAATACAGCAGCATTTGGATACAGCAGCTACAGTTTTTGGCCATTTTGGTCTCCTATTATTTTCCACTATAGAATTTTAATAAACATTAGGTAAAACTAAAAACACACTTCATTTTATTGCTGATGGAAGTCAACAGAATTGTTTGCAGCTATGTTTCTGTTACAATTTATCTGATTTTGCCAGAGTTAAGACCCACAGTTGTGACTGTGTTACCCTCTAGCTGGAATAAATTTGCATAGCATATCTGCAAACTGGCCCTAATAATATTGAATATTATTTCAGTGAAGTCAGTTTCTTTCTTTTGTGTCCCGTCACAGCATTTCTCTCTGTGTGCAGTAAGCCTATCGCAGAGAGTCCCTTTTTCTATGGAGCTCAGCAACAGCGGACTTGGACAATGTGTGGACAGTCAGCCAAGCAGTCAGCTTAAAAAAAATAGAAAAAAAGAAAAAAGTTGGCTCCAGCTGAAGTTTTCAAGGTCACTGACCATCAACAACCTTTCCAAATTGTGTCCCCCCTGGCTGCTCCACTGATGAGATTTCAGTCTGTGAAAAGCATTGCAGCAACAGCTCCTATCTAAGTCTGAGCAACAGTCCCCTCTTTTCATTTTTCACAGACAAAATTCTCAATGATTATTAGCTGTACGTGTGTAGTTTTCATTTTAATATTCATACAAAATCTTTTTTTGTCCATAAATGAAACTAGTGTTATCAGAACATCTTCTATTGTGATGATGAACCTGTGAGGTTAAGAGCCGCCTTCATTTCTGACCCTAATTATGCCTAATTAAAAGCATGCTAATGCACTGTACTTCAGCGCCGTGCTTTACATAGAAAAGCCTCAGGATCTTCTCCCTTCATGTTATAATTCTTTTAATCTTCAAACTATGTGGAGGTTCTTGGGGAAATGTTTGGCTTTTTATGTCTCCCACAAAAGCCTTTCTTATTACCACTTGCCAGCCACCTTCTGTGATGATGCTACATATTAGATTTACCTTTTTATGTGTTTTCTGATTGTAGCCCTTGCAGTGATGCAAACAGGCAAACTAACAACCCAAAAATATTACTTTGCTACTTGCGGGTTTTCTTACACCAGGATCAAGGTTTGGAAAATCGTGTTTATCGCCCACATTGCTCCTCTAGGAGGTGTTACATCCCAGCTGCTTCAGATTCAGCCTTGATTTCACATTTGGATCCTCATTACACTAAGTGTGCAGATGTAAGACAATAACTCTCTGCCTACGATATTTTGTAAAGAAACTAGATTCCCATTAATGTTAAAATTTGTCCTTCTGTCTAAGCATTGATCTGGTTATATGTCAGCTGGGTTTTAAAGGAAAACCTTCAATAGAGTTAGAAAATTAATTGATTTTCCTGAGCAGAATTAGCTGAGAAGATTTAATACCAATCTATTACACTTGTAACAGACGCTATGCTAACAGACATTAGCATAGCGTTGGATCGCTGAAATATGCCGAAACTGCCCAATAGTTTAAAAAAACGTGCTACTTTTGGTGTTAACTTTGTAAAAAGAGTAAGAGATGTAAAAATTACACATTTAATTATTATCTGATCAGATGACTGATGTTTTCCAGAGAAATTAAAACATTCAGTTATTTATGTGAAGGCTAATGCTAACAAAAATGAGACTAAAGCTGACGTTTGGCATTATTTTTATATATCCATAAAATAAAAAGCATATAGCCTGCACTTCTAATAGTGTATTATTACTATACAATTAAAAATAAGGTAAGGTTAGGATACTTTGTATCAATATTTTGAGTATAAATTCAGAAGAATCACATGGTAATGGTTGGGAAATCGCGGGCTGTATACCGTGCTGCCTTACATTCATTCTTTTCCACATATCCAGTAGATATAAATATTATCCTGCAGTCAATACTGTATCCACAGCACTCTATTGTTGTATGCAGTTGTATACCTACTGAACAGCCACTTTGTTAGGTCCCATGCAAGGGCTTAACCAATCTTATATGTCTATGAAAACAGCATTTTACCATCTTCCTCAGTTTTTCTGCTTTTGCAAGAACTAGCGCATTGTCAGTGTAGACTGTGTTGTCTTTTGACAGTAGAAACGCTTTATTTGAAGTTTTACACGCCTCCTCTTTCATCTTAGCTCATCACTCAACTTGGCGAGCAGACTTTTTAGGCAGTAGCGCTGTCGTCTACAGCTGTCATTTGATCCGTATGTGCCCTAATGAGTAAGAGGCAAATGTGTCTGTGATGCCTTCCCCCTCCATCACACCTCAGTTTAACGAGTGTGGAAAAAAAAAATCACCAGTCAATTATCTAAATGTGTCATAATAAACTCACAACATGGACTACTCTATTTCACAGTTTCACACATTATTAGCAGCAAAGTTGTTTATCCAACCGTTCAAAATGCTCTGACCCTTGTGCTGATGATAGTGTCAGCATCCCACATTTGACCGGGCATTTATTTAAAGATAAAGCGCCACTACATTAATCATTATGAACATAAAGGCAGGTGAAAAAAAAAAAAAATGAAGGCAAAACAAACAAGTAAGGTCACTGAAAACCAGTTGAGAGCTACACACCATTTTTCAAATCATATTCCCTCCTTTCGTGTTTCAGCGATGGTGGTGGAAAGCAAAGTCTCTCTAAAATACTGGCCCAAAATCTCCAATTCAACTGAGTTAAAATGTGGTCACTGTAAAGGCTGTAGGATGTGAATCACATTGTTTTTGCACTATAGAACTACTCACTGGCACCTCGCACGCTGTGAATGGGGGCATTGTCGTCCTGGACGAGATCACTCCCATCAGGAAAGAAATCTGATAAATGTGATAATGTGATTTGCACTGATGCTTCCCGCCAGGTTCAGACTGCACATTGTCCTGATCTCAAAGACATAGGGCACTGGCTTTGGATTGGGACCAAAAATGGATGTCATGCACAACAGTCGGTCATTTGATATCATAAAGAGCGTAATGGATGAAAATCACTTCATTCTGACACAAGACTAGCGTTTTAGATTTTTTTCCCCAAGTTTTTGCAGTGGTTGGATCCCTTTTGTGAGGTGACCCAGTAACTGTGTACAACTGTAGACATGACTATGTATGAATTTAAAATGAGGGACAGTAGACAGACAGTATATATGTGATAGAGACCTCTTCAGTTGCCAGAGTACTCTAGAACCAAGTCTCATCTTAGTAGCCCTCTTGAAATGCCTCCTAGTACGTGTTAAAGAAGTTACATTTTATGGGTTTATCATCTACAGTGGGGCAAAAAAGTATTTAGTCAGCCACCGATTGTGCAAGTTCCCCCACTTAAAATGATGACAGAGGTCAGTAATTTGCACCAGA